ATTTAAGTGTTCATTCACACACTGCTGGGTAGTAAGCAAGTGTGTCAACACACAGTGCACTTAATCTGCACTTGATGCACTTTTCCTAGCACTACTTCAAAGTAGTATTCAGAGCTCAGTGTATCCCAGAATTCACTGCAGTCCACTCTGCAACAGCAGTCCTGTTGTTGGCAGTAGTCTTAGGAAGTTTATGACATGCTGGATTCAGGATGAAAATGTGTTCATGTCCATTCACTACAAATATGACAGAGCGTCCACTCGTACCGATCTGTCTGTGTAAGGAGACTGATAATATAGATATTGCTTATCTTTAGTCAGTTACTTTGGTTTAAGATGCTTTCAGAAATTCTCTTGTGGCAACTGTCAGACAAATACAACAACAGTAAAGACATTACAGTTTAAAGACCTGCCTGGCACTGTCATAAACATAAATATTAGATAAAGACTGAGAAACGGGTTCCATACTTTAAAATCTTATCAGACAGAAACCATCACTGTCTCTTTCATGAACAGCAGACCTTCGTGCCTCAAAGTAACTGCTTTATTGATTTTATTGTAAAACTGTTTGTTTAATCCAAATTATTTGTTCCAGCAAATGATAAACTGATAAACCTCCACACACTCGCAGTCTTAATGAGCTCTGACTACTCACTAGTGCAAGTTTGGGTGTTGGGAGGGACCGATCATACCTGCCGAGCATCAGCACATTAGCATTGTCGCTGTAAGCATGTTAGCATGCTGATATTAGCATTTAGCTGAAAGCACCACAGCCTATCAAAGCTGTTACCATGACTGTCTGATGAAACCATTGCTTTACAAGTATGTTTAAATATGGGGAAAACGGCACATATTTTCAGACAGTCTTTCCTGAAAGGTATTCACAGTGTTCACATGAAAAGTGACAAAAATAGTAATGGAACAAATGAAAGAAAAGCTTGAGAGAAGCTGAAACTCCAGCTCTCCTTTCTCACCTCTGCACAGCAGGTCGGTATCTGTGTGAAGTGAGTGTGAATGTTGGATCATCTGTTTCATAAAATCACAGAAATGGTCAGACACAGATGACACCCCACCCCCCACCCCCCAACAGTGGAAAGTGGAAAGGTGTGGGCATGAGGGGGCTTCCAAAGCTATTCAAATGTCTAAAAAGAACCTCTGAGAGATTGTTTTACTTTTGCAGGGAAAGGTAGTCATGTTTTCTTCTGGTGTCCGAGGCTCAAACACAATGTTGAAACAGAATTTATCTTTATTTTTGGCATTTCTGCTTTATTAGATAGTGTCAGTAGAGACCGGAAAGGCAGGGGACAGAGGCGTGGGGGGGGGGGTTGAGTTGCAACAAAGTACCTGGGATGGATTCGAACCCGGGCCACTATGCCGATATGTGGTACGCTTTCTACCAGGTGAGCTGCCCGAGCATCCCTGAAAACAGTTTATCTTAAAGGTTGATAGTGCTGTTTATCAAAAAAGAAAAATGTTGGAGTATAATGTGTTGACTGATTGCTTAATAGTGTAAACTACCAGGCTGTCTATGAAGGACAAAAAATGACATAAGTGAATAAATAAATAAATGTAGAAATACAGAAAGAAATAGATGATTGAATTTTGCAATGCATGAATAAATAAATGGAAAAATACAGAAATAGCATTTGTCAGTACCTAAATCTATTTATTTTTGCATTTATTTATGTATTAAATGCAGAAATTATTTATTTATTTATACATGTTTCATTTTTCGTCCTTCACAGCTGTCAGGGAGCAAAGTAGCAGAGGCCTGGAAATGTTCCATTTTTAAAATTCAGCACAAGGTGACCATTACAGACCTTCCTGTGACAGGAAGTGGAAGTGCTGATTCACTGCGACTGTTTGATTATCTTCGTCTTATCTCTTAAATTACGATATCAAACCAGTAAATGTTGCGTGTAAAGATGAAACAGCTGTCCTCCATGGAGCTAAACATTACTCTTACCTGTAATGAAATGCAGTAAATGATGTGAGTATTCATGGACAGCATTAACTCAATTCACCCTTTCACCCTGTTTCTGCCAGTGGATGTACTTAAAGAGCACTGAGTATTAGATGTGTGTGGAGCTTCAGTGTAGACATGAGTTTCTCTACCCTGAGTGTATCCTCCCATTTCACTGGGTTTATGTGCATCTTGCATTTCTTACTTTAACAAGGACAACAATAGCGTCACTGCATCACTGGGTGCTGACATATTTGGATTTAAAATGGTACTTTTCAGCCTCCTCTGTGCTTTGGAACAAAATCACATTAGATACTGAAAACACAGATAACTCCATCTGCCTTTTAAAGAGCAGGCTGTCTTCACTGCTGTGACTGCTGCGGTTAAGTTTATTACAGCTTTTCTAGGCGGATTTTGCCAATTAAAGGGGATTTTCTCTGATAAACACCCCGGGCGGGGCTTTCTACAGTCACTTCATCTCTCTATAAATCCATAAAGCTTTTCTAATATTCATCCATGTGAATGATGGAGCTGGAGGCAGAGTAATGTTGAAGTGGGTCTGTAACAGCTTTTTCCAGTTAAATCTCCTTGTGAGGAGATGGAAGGTGAACATGCCAGAAAACAAACCAGCTCCAGCAGACATCATTTACATTTAATTGCTTGTGATATTTTATTTTTTTCTCTTCCTCTTGAGTCCTTCCCCAACAGGAGGAAGCCATTCAGCACTCAGGATGGAAACAGGCAGTAAATGGGACTAATGCAAAATTGATATATTTATTTATATTTGTAAACACAGCATATGAATGCCTTTGTGTTCCTTTGCTCATGCATATCGCAATTTTCTGTTGTGCAGCTGCTAAAAGGCAAAGTGACAAAATAAATCCAGCTCAGTCGACTATTTAAGATGTTTATTATTGATTTCATCTTTTGACCAGAAAACACTGGTTTTGATTTGACTGGTAAACCACGTTATGAATAGCACATTGAAGAAACCTGGAAAGAAACTGGCACAGCCCAGCTAATGTTCCTGGAAGCCCAAGATATTTTTAAAATAAAACACATATTTTAATCTGTCACTCTATATCAGTGGCTCTGGGGACCCCGAGGGGTCTTTGAGGAGGTTCCTGAGTGTCCTCAGCAAAATGGGAATAAAATATGTAAAAGGAAAAATGTTATCAGATGGGGGTTTGTGGCCTAATTTGTGTCAGTTTAGGGTCAGTTTAGCCACTGCTCTATAGTCCTATACACTCCTCAGTTGTTAAACTAATATTAAATGTAAATGAACACTGATATATCATTCACATTATAACATTTTTGTTTATGTTAGCAAACAATTGCCTCGTTCCATATGCAGTTGCCAGGAAACAATATCAGCATTTATGTCATGTTGTGTTTTTAGCCACTTGATCAATTTGATATTAAGACCTAATATTCTCTCCGTTTAGCTTGGTTATAATTTACAACTCCTGAGGGAAACATCCAGCTCATAGCTAACCTACCTGAAGGTCACCAGCGAGCTGCGAACTTAGCCTTTCTATTGTTTAGTCTTGAGCAGGTAATGGAGAGTGGGTTTATTGAACCTGCCTGCTGCTGGAAACGGTGTCGATGAGAGCCGTGAGAAACAGTACATCCGTGGGTCACAGAACCTAAAAATTGAGCTCAAAGACGCTAAAACATGCCGTAGAACTGAGGGGATTTTGCAGAGTTGAGTGGAAATCTCTGCTGTTTGGTCACTGCAACCGACCCCTTTCACATTTCACATAATCATTTTATTTTTTGTGAATATAAAAATATTGACTAGTGCAGCTTTAAACATTTCAAGCGAGGCAGCATAGGGCCCTAAAAAGTCAAAACCAGGATATATGAATTTGGTGACTTTGTGAATCTTGGCTTATATATATAGGCTCAGCTTTTTGAAACATTCGACATGTGTGCATATTTACCCAACACATTAAGAAGACTTTGGCATTCTCTTTGACTGACATGTTTGTGGTGCATCCTGGTTGCTATTTTAAGAAAACTGTAGGAAATCATGCACACGGCTCACATGAAGAGATTAAAGTCGGAGGTGGAAAGATGTTGCACAAATTTCTGCTGAGAGAGGGGCGAGCGTTGGCTCTATAGTCTTTGACCAGTCTGGTGTGTCCTTCGTGGTCCACTGTCTGCCAGTCAACACAGAGAGCCACACATAGCGTCAGGCACAGAGTTAAAACTGAGAGGCTCTGGGCTCCGACCACTGCAGTGGAGGGCCGGCCTGATGAAGTGAGAGAAGTAAATAAGGCATTTGTGCCACGAGGAGGCCAAGCTGAACCGACTGACCCATGATTTTACTAAGGCTGTATGGAGATGGCAGGAGATGGGCTGTGATTAAGACCTCCAGGGGAGAAGTATCTGAGAATGTATTTGCTCACACTCAGAACTTACAGCAAGGGGATCTTGGCTATCTGCAGAGTACACAGGGTCTCTGCTCCTGTTTGCTAACTTTTATGTTATGCACTCTGCTTAACAATCATCAATGTATTATTTTCAGATGATATAAGACGATTATTATGTATTAAATGCCAGAAAATGGTGAAAAATGCCCATTGCAGTTTCCCAGTGATCTAATGTCTTTCTTTGTCAGACCAAATCATTTACAAGCAAAGCTTCTCATTTGAGATGCTGGATTTAGCAAATGTTTGTCATTTCTGTTGATAGATGAATCGATTAACTGACTACCCTAATCGTTTAAAAATCGCTTTTTTTAATGTAAAAATAAAAAATGTCAGGAAGAGACCTTCATTGCACAGGAAAACAGCATACAAACACAATAGATTTGGTTAATGTGGGGGTTTGTTACAACATGTCAGACTGCTGGTGTTTTTGCCTCATCCAACTTTCTGAGATGTCAGATCTCAGCATAGAACACAACACTACTATAACCCATCTAAATAATGGCCAAAACTAACCCAGAATATCATTTTCAGTGGGTCAGTGCTTCAGGTTTTATTACAGACAAATTGTCCTTCCTGTTTAAGTCTTCTTTTCCTTCTCCCTGCAGATTGAATCAGCAGTACAGGCGATCCATCAGGGCCGACGGGAGCTGTTAGAGGAAGCCTGCCACTCCTACACCCGCAAACGCAGAGTCCTAATCCCTGAGGACCTGAAGCACGTCATCGTGGACGACCAGCACGGCCTGCTGTACTGCTACGTGCCCAAAGTGGCCTGCACCAACTGGAAGCGGGTGCTCATGGTTCTGACTGGCACTGCTGGGTCCCTCAGAGATCCACTGGCTATCCCCGCCAATGAGGCCCACATCCCAGGAAACCTCCGTACCTTGTCGGAGTACTCCACCACCCAGATTAACCAGCGCCTGCGCTCCTACCTGAAGTTCGTCTTCGTACGTGAGCCCTTCGAGCGGCTGGTGTCCGCGTATCGCAACAAATTCACACGGAGCTACAACACAGCTTTTCATAAACGATACGGCACAAAGATAGTGCGGCGGCACAGGCCGGACCCACAGCCGGAGGCTCTGGAGAGAGGAAATGACGTCTCCTTCGAGGAGTTTGTGTATTACCTCGTGGACCCGGCCACCCAGCGAGAGGAGCCCTTCAATGAGCACTGGGAGCGGGTGCACTCACTGTGCCACCCCTGCCTCATCCACTACGACGTGGTGGGGAAATACGAGACGCTGGAGCAGGACTCCCGCTATGTGCTGCAGCTGGCCGGGGTGGAGGACCAGGTCAGCTTCCCTGCCTCGTCCAAGAGCACCAGGACTACAGGAGACATGGCAGCCCAGTTCTTCCAAAACATCAGCCCGTTTTACCAGAAGAAACTCTACAACCTCTATCGTATGGACTTCCTGCTCTTCAACTATTCCATACCAGCCTACCTCAAGTTCAGATGAGGCTGAGACGTCTCTCATCCACGGACTCCACTTGAACTTATGGAGCCTGGAAAAGTACAGTTTGTTTTTGAGATGCTTCCTTCTCTGTAGGCCTTATTACAGACACTGCAAATACTGTTTTAAAAGAAAGAAGCACCATCAAAGCAATGAAAATATCCTGATGAGAGCTTATTTTTACGGATAAAACATCAAGCTGAAGAACCTCTGTGCACACAGAGGAAACAAATAGGAGAGGACCTTCCATCACAAGATGAACGCTTCTGCCTAATGAGGGCAAATTTATATTTTACTGTAAAGAGTGAATGTGTGAAATGCCATTCAAATTTGGTTTCATTTAATTTCACTTTGTCTGCTGTTTCAAATGTGTAATTTGCACAAAGGTAATCTCTACAAGGTGCAGTACCATGATGAAAGTATTAAAATCACATTTGGACAGTGAATGTCTCCCAACATATGTGCCTTTAATAGTGGGCCTTATTTTGACCCCAGCAGACAACGACGACTTTTGTAACTGTGACTGTGTTTTGTTTTTGGTTTTTTTTTGTACTGTAGGAAGAGATTTTTGTGTAACTGTGATACTGTCTTTATTTATTGTTACTTCTGACTCCACAAAGTCATACAAACCAAAATAGATATATAGTTCTCTCACAATTTTCAAATAAATGCATTTCAGCAAGAATTTGTTTATTGCTTTGACTATTAGTTATTGATGTTTAGATGTTTTGAAGGAACCTATCCTAATTCTTGACATACTCCTGTACAGATATCCCTCAGAAAGTCATGATTTACATATAAGTATTTTATTTAAATGACAAATCATGGTTGCAGAGATGTCATCTAGAGGTTTTTACAAATGTGATGGCACTACAAAGTCCAGTCAAGCTCGCTGTCACTGTGAAAATAAGATTATTACCATCTTTAGATGCTATTTTCAGATCACTAAAGACAAACATCTTTCTAAAAGTGCATATCAAACAATTGATAAGGCCCCATACAGAGAGACGCTTACTAAATCATTTTTACACAAAAATAGCACAAAGAAATATCTGTACTGTCTATATCTGGAAAACATAGTAACGCAGGGACAGTTAAATAGTACAGGGTATATTCAGTGGCACTGTGCTGCACAAAAAATAAAATATCCCGTAGAAATTTTGCAACACCAAACTCATCAGAGAACTGAAGGCTTATCACGGTTTAAAGGCACAAATCTACCTAAAATAAACACAATAAAACCTAACATTCCTCCAGACAGTGCAGCATCTGATTTATGTTAATATACATTTACACTCAGTTATATATTATTATCGTCATAATACAATCAAATGCCATCTAACATTTAATAGCTGACAATGGGTGTACAGAATGTGTCAACAGTTAACAATACAGTGGTTCTACAGTATTCCCACTATCCATTTTAGATGCTTCTACAGAGCCAAGCTTGGTGGTGTTGATATCGAGGTCAGTGAAACTCCAGGGAACATTGTACAACTGCTGACCAAAGTGAGCTGGCAAATATGGAGAGCAAAGTGCAAAGTAAGTCCACACAATCCTCAGCTTCTCTTTCTATAGTCATGCCAGGTTGTTTTTTCTTTTTGCAGCTCATTATCAGTGGTCTCATATCTGTGCCTCAATCCCGAGGGTGAAGGAATATTTTGAGCCCGGAAAACAATTTATATGTGGGTGAACTATTACCACGGAAGATTCATTTAATTTGTGCAAACAAAAATCTGTTCTGTTCAACTAATGTATTTGTTATTATAGATAAAGTGCACAACAATAACCTCTCACTCAGTTTTGTTCATTTCCTCTCTAATTCCCTGCTCTGTGTGCCCTGGAACTATGTTTATCTTGATCTCTCAACATCTCTGCTCATATCTGTCTTGCTCAACCCAACACAGTGTTACAGCCACAATTTAAGCAATCAAAACAATTGGAATAGGTCATTTCTGATTGGCTGTTTCTCCAATTTGCTAGTAGGATTATCAGTTACTAGGGAAGGAGTAAAAAAACTAAGGTCACCGCACCCACACAAAAGTAGTGAATACAGTCTTGGTTACATAGCTAGTTTTATCAACCACTTTTAAGTTAGTCTCCACCCAGCTATCTTGGTAGACCGTAGCTGACTTAGCGGTTGCTAACTAAGCTAACTGGCTAACTTGATTATTGCCAACTACTCAGACAAGGCATAATACTCAGTACCTTTGAAAAAAGTACCGCTAAATGATTTACCTCAGTAAAATTTATGTAGCTAGTGAACTAACTACTACTAATGACCTAATAGCATTCTTTTAAAATGAAATGTAGCAACAAAATAATATATTAGATAAAGATCTTTAACCACTCACTCAGCTGCCTCTGTAATTATGTGCTCTGCTAAATAAACAGCATCTAACTAAGCTAGTTTATGTAGTTCCTTTAAAAAAAACTGAAACTGTGCCTTTAAACTACAAAAAATTCTAAATCTAAGATACAATTTTGTTGGACAGTTCGCTACATCTCAGTGCATTCATCTGGTTGCTATTAGGAATTTGTAAATTAGCTTGCAATATAAATATTACACTCAAGTCAAGGTTGCATGTTTGCATTTTTTACAAGCACTTAATTGTGCTACTGGATTAAAACATTTATGGTAATAATCAAGTTAGCCAGCTAGGTTAGTTAGCTATTGCTCACCTAGCAACCATATGTCAGCTACAGCACCTACCATACCGAAAAAGCTTAGTAGAGACTAAATGACATGTATAATTTTAGAAAATTTCATAAGCAACCAAAAATACATTCAGTACTTTCATGTATGTGTGTCCCTACTTAGCATTTCCCCAGTGCTTCCCTGCTCCCCTCTTTCAGATTAGCTGTAATCAATAACCACTGGAGACAAAAAACACCTTACCAAAAATGACTCCAGTTTTTAGACAGGCCACAATTGTGGCATGATTGTAAAGGTGTGCCAACCAATGTGCCATCTGTATGTAAGCTGTAAACTGAATAGCAGCAGACTGTGTCTGTCGGGGTGAAACTCAGTCTCTCCTGTTTTCCCTCTCATCTCTGTACGATTATGAGGCAGTTTCATAAAGTGCTGGCTTAATATGTGCAAATTGGGGGGAATTAGAGAGTAAATTAGTAAATTCAGAGTTTATTACTGTTCACTTGGATAACTGAACATGCAAATAATTCTATTGAACATTCAAATACATCTATTGAGCACAGAATAGATTTATGTTCGCTCAAAGTAAATCATTCTCTGCATGATCATTTGTCTACAAAGTAGAATTGATGTGCTTGCAAAAAATATTTTTCTGTGCTCAAAATGTCCCATAGTGCATCTGTATTGATGCCATACTTGCCTCCTATATTCTTTTTTCCTCACCTTCTCTCTTGAAGGAAGCCCAGTGGGCTTTGCAGTGTGCTTCAGCCACTTGCATTTAAGGGAACATTACATTCAGGATGTACAGGAACACTTGTCTGTGTCAGACTCCAGTCCCAGTTGAACCGAACATCAGAATCAGTCTGAAGCTCAGAGCCAAAAAGCCAGTCCCCAGCAGGTCACCCAGAGCTGTGAGGTAGGGGATGGAGAAATTGTCTGGATCCAGTCCCCTTTGCCACAACCAGGACACCACCAGCCTGGCCACGTAAAGCAAAATCACCACCTGGATAATGACAGTTGTTGGAGTCAAAGTTTCAAATGAGAATATCTCAGATTGAAGGAAATCAAAGACACTTACAAGTCAATTTTAATTAAATCTTGAAGGAGTTTTTTCTGGCAGTATGAATGGCAAAAGGTTTATCTGGTTATTTGACCTGAAGCAGAGCTGCAGACAGGTAGCAGATGACGAAGGTGGGTGTCATGGCAATATGGCCTCCCTGCAGGAGGTGGATGGTGTAAAGGAAGAGGAGGTGACCTGGGACCACGAAGATGACCAGGACTCTGGCAGATTTGGAGTTCACATCTGGGTAAACACAGAACGAGTAGTTACAAGATATGTGAACTTCTATGCTCAGTGTCGTTTAACTTTTAAAAATGTGTTTCTCAGAAGCACTAGAGCTTTTTGCTGTGTGCTGGTTTTAACAATGGAAACTGTGGTAGAACTAACTGATGCATCTATCTTGAACCAGTGGCATTATTAAATTTACTTCATTTCCCATAAACTTATTTTCAGGTACAAACAAACTTGTAATAAAGGAATAGTTTGATAACTTGGGAAATATTCTTAAGTTATTTTCTTTCTTAAAAGAGAGTCATTCCAGGCCTGTATGTAGCTGAAGCCAAGTTAATAAATGTTTATCAGTACCTCTAACCCTCACAAATGAACACATCTTCATATATTGTTTTTACACTTCACGTTTTGCATCACTAAAACTGTTACCTTTGGACAGAACCAAACTAACTATTCTTCAAAGTCAAACTCAGAACAACTTTATTAATCCCACTAGGGGCAATTAGTTACGAGCAACTTGTACACAGAGGAACACAAAAACAAAAACAAATATGCCAGGGAAGTAAAATGTAAAATAAAATCTATAAAGTAGACCTGGATGGTAGCCCTGGATAGCAACTGAGAAAATCACTTGCAAAAAAATGCACAGTAATAAGTAAGTAAGACCCTGAGCTTTACAGAGGATTTGTTGGTTGCAGAAAGAATTCAGGTCTCCTTGTTTGACTCTGGTAAAAAAAAAAAAAAGCGCAAAAGGCTCTCAATAAAAGAATTTAGTTTGTGGAGAAGTTGAATTCTTCATGTCAGATTTAAGATGGTCACCGAAAACAGTACCCAGATATTTGTATGTTGTGACAATTTCTACACTTTCATTGTGTATTATGCACTCTATGGCTGCATCAGTTGCATGTAAAACATTAGTTCTTTGTTTTTAATTGCATTTAAGTATAAGAAGTCATTATCACACCAAGAAATAAATTGAGGAAGAGCGTTGCCATGGTCTGATTCTGAACCTTGGAGAAGGTACAGTAACACAGCGTCGAGTAAGGGCAAAAGGATGCACGCTTGTAGCGAGCCTGTGGACATAACTACAAATTCTGTATAGTATAGTAAGAGGTTATAATACATCCTCTGAGCAGCGCTATGTCTTCAGGGCAGATTGGAAAGAGATGAGACGGGCCGGAGCTAGCTGGTTAGCATGCTAACTTCAGTAAAAGAAAAGATATGATAGAGACAGGAGTTAACACTGATATTGCTTTCCACCTCTGGAGGCAGCTCTCGGTGAGTTAGGAATGAAGTTTGATGCTGAACTCACGTTTCTTCTTGACTGGTAAGAAGCTGTTAATGTTAACACTGGCTATGTAGCAATAGCAAAAATAGACTAATAATAGAAATAGCTCCTTTAAGTATAAAAAGGTTTGCATCCTCCACACACTTCCTTCCCTGATAAGCTAATTGCAGTGGATCAAGTTTTCCATCCACAGTCGACAAAACAAGGTTTTTAACAATTAACAATTATTAGTGGATTCGAGGCAACTGGTCTAAAATCAGTTAGTATCTTAGCATTGATGTTCTTTGTGACTAGCTGCTGGCTGCAGCTTTGTACTTTCTGCACAGAAGTCAGAGTACTATTGATCTTCTCATCTAACTCTTGACAAGAAAGTAAATAAGAGTATTTCCCAAAACTCTCTAAATCTCTCTCAAAGTTGGAAACACTGCAGGCTGTAAACAACCCCCTAATAGAAACTGTTGCGGACATTTAATTTTGAAAGAGCAAGGGCTAATTGGGAAACTCAAACTCAAACTGAACGTACTTATGCACTCAAAATAGCAAGAGACACAGTATATCAGTCAGTCAGTCAGTCACAGATTTGTGTTTATAGGGTTGGCCCCATCTTTGCAATCCAGCCAAAATAAAACTTGAATACTCAAGTTAAATTATTTGGAATAAAAACATAATTTCTGATGCTACAGTTGTACGCAGCACCTTGTAGTCATGTATTTATCTCTGACCTGAGGAGCAGAAGGTAGCACAAGGTCCAGGACAGTTCCCACTCATTTTAAATGGAAGAGCTCCAGGGACACTCCAGTAGTGGAGGTAGGTGGACATCCTGCTGGCCTGGATGGCCACCAGGTTTCCCCCTACACCTGCATGGAGATAGAGAAGAACTGATGTAAGTATTACCAGAGTCTAGTAATGATCAGTTTTCAAAATAAACATTTAATCAAACTTGGAATAAGACGATAAAATATAGAACTGCATTTCAAGATCCAACCAAAAACAAGTGTGTTTTAATACTGATATGGTTTTACTTAGGTATTTGCCAATGTTCAGCTTTCATGGTACAATCATACTGGACAAACTGCATCACCATCTTCATTTGCCATTGTTCTCTTTTCCATACAAAAGGCTGAGAAGTCACTGCACAATATAACATGGAAAAATGGTTCACTATCCAAACAGTAATTCTGCTTAAAATCTATTCAGCAGTTATCCCTAACTCACAGGCTCCCATGAGACTTATTTCTCTAAATATCTGGAAAAGTCAGTCTGGATGTTGTGCCATATTCATCGTAGTATTACTCTCCCCTCAGGCTGATTTCATTAGGAGCAGAACAGAACCTCTTGGCTTGCAGAGCTTTAAAGCACATGGATCATTTGGGCCAAACAGGAGGAGTGTTTCTGGTCAACAGGGCAGGAGGGAAGAGCGCTGAATTGGAATGCAAATGTACTTCCTGTCCTGGGATGGCAATACATGCAGGAGTCTTTGGTAGCACTGAAGCTGGCAGAGATGCTGCGGAAACAGGAGCCAGTGAATGCATAGTTGGCATTCTGATCAGGCCTGTGGTTTATGTAAAGACCATTGTTATTGCTCTCTACTTAGTATGCTGCTTTGTGAGCGACGAACTTCAGTCGGTTAAGATCTGGCCTCTCTGAGGTTCCTTTGACAGGGAGGACAGACTGCTCATATGCAGCAGCACTTCAATACCTCATGACTGATTAATACTTCATATCCGAAGCCTTTTAAAAGTTGAGCTTAGCCTTTAGCACTGTTAGTTCTTCACTGTCAGGGTGACAGTGATAGCTGCAGGGCACCTGCATGCTTCAGCAATTTCCACATGACATCAGTTGGCACAAGGCTTTTTTATTGATAATAATGAAGCTAGTTATGACGTTTAATTATCATTCTTCAAAGATTAGGACTGTTTAAACACCATAAGCCCAAATCCCAGCTCTGCTTTCTCCTTCAGGGAAAACATGTCAGTGTTCATTTCTTTGCTTAGAGCACGTGGCATAAATTGTTTCATCTTCAATTAAAGGGATTATATCCACAATGATATCTATCTTAGATAGAAGTGATGAAAGTTATTATCCTAACTTCATCTCTTGAGCCCTGGAAAGTGGAAGTTTTTAGATGCTTTACTTAAGTAAAAGTATACCACCAATACCACTGTCTACAATTACTGTGGTACAAGTTAAAAGTGCTTTCAGAAAAATGTACTTAAGTATTCATTACACAAAGTGAACCCTGTCAGTACATTATTATATATTATTGAATTGTTACTTCTGATCCATTTCATTATTAGAGCATAGGGTACATCTCATTTCCCTGATTCAATTGTTCCTTTGCTCCTTGATCCTCACGTCACCTGGAAATCGTCCTCCATCTTGAAAGAAGTCTCAAAGCTCTTATTTCTGCTGTGAGGAGCGAGGAGCAAAGAGCAAGGAGGGATCCCTGAGGAGCCATGAGCAAGGATGCATGAGACCATCCTCTGTGGAAGACATTCAGCTGAACAACATGATGTATAAACACTCTGCTGTGCTGATGTCAAAAGAAAGGAGACGTCACCTGAGATGATTCAGAGGAAAGGACATCTAAATTTCATTTCAATTTCACATATTTCCTTGTTTTCTCTCTCCTTGCAACATTTCCAGTAGGAGGTAAGGAAAAGACACAAGTGAGGAAGAGATGGATGCCATTAAAGGAAGTGAGATGTACCCATAGAGTTTGGTTCTATGCCTGCACAGCCCCTCACACCTTACACCGGACTAGAGGTCTAATCAGCCAGTTCAGCTGAAAACACTGTGTGTGTGTGTGTGTGTGTGTGTGTGTGTGTGTGTGTGTGTGTGTGTGTGTGTGTGTGTGTGTGTGTGTGTAAAGCCTTCAATATGTAAAGTACCCAGCAACCACAGCTGTCAGATAAATGTACTAAAGTGACACCCTGACTTGTCCTTTAGTGCCACCTGCATGTTGATGTGTTCACTTGTCCTGTGAAATCTTTACATACATATTTACATATCTCAACATTTACTGGATGGATTGAACACTACACTACTACACTAATAAAACATGCTAACACTCTATAGTGTGGTATAATGCAAATAATGACATAAAGATTTTAATCTTATAAGCAACTGAGAACCTAACTATGAAACTGAATCAACATTGACTTACGGTTGAATGTTAGTTGTCAATTTGATGTTGCAATTTCGTAAATTAGAGTTCAAATTAAAACACATTTTTTTCAATATTGGGCACTTAAATATAAACACTTAAATTAAATACTGAACACTGTTCAGTTCTAAAAATTCAAGTCCCCAGATGAAAATTTCTCGTGAATGATTTGTGTGTATAAAGAGACAATAAATACTTTATAAACTACTGTAAAGGTGTATTTATTTTATACTTCAGTACCTGTTTATTCAAAATACATGAATGAAAACACCCTTACATCTGCTTAAAATATCATTATAGTGTACAACAATTTAAGTTTTTATATATTGTTTTTATATATTGCTTATAAATGCTAAATAGTAGGAGTTAAAGGTAAGTAGAGTTCATTTTCTGCTCACCATTGATGACCGGGGTGAGCACTGCCATACCTTCAAAGTCTGGATTACTCACTGTCTTATCCAGAATCAGACCACCAATACTGGGAAGAAGACAACACACAGTGCGTGAGTCTCAGCGGGACACCTTTGTGAAAATGCTGTGGCTATGAGATTCCCGCCGGCTGTCGGCTCACCTGCTGATGGACATGGCCAAAATGACCGGCTGCCAGCCTGACCTGAGGACCTCTCTGACTGGTGGAGAGCGACAGGCAATAATGACCCACGCCGGGATGAGGAGCAGCAAGAGGCCACACACCACGGGAGGCAGGTACCACATGTCTGCAGGACAACATAGCACAGAATAAATCAGTCAATGTCTTTTTGATTTATTTTTTTAGGGAAGAAAACAAACAGATTCACGGACACCGTCTCTTTGTCAGTTGTTGACTTTGCTGCCCTCTTCTGGCTGAAATACTCCATCACAACAATAATGCTGACTTGAAATTGTGTGAATCTTCTGCTCCTCATCTCTTGCAAAGACCCTTTTCTATCAAAGTAACTGATTTGAAACAGGTTCCAACCTCTTTTACAAACAAACTGGTATCACAGGGGCAACAAACAATGCACTGAGAGTGACCGTGTTTGTGACCTCTGACCTCTGTAACAGAAGAAGAAGCTGCTGACACCAGCGAGCAAAGACAGAGTGATGAGATCTCCAAGGCTGGCAGCGATGGGTGTAGCCACGTTATCCGGGTTGATGCCCACTTTCCTGGAGCCAATGATCACTGCCACCATCACCAGACCTGACAAAGCATACGACAAAGACTTGAGGTAGAAGACAAAGAACAAGACACTAAGTTCATAGACTCTACTGTATTCTGTGTATCTACTCTGTATCATCAGCCATTAGCTAAGTGGTTCTCAAAGTGGGCTTGTGCCTTTGTCTGACCTAGAGACAGGGCAGCAATGAAAGCAGTGGTGACGCTGCTGGCACACAGGATAGCAGCCTGGATAACATCCACTCTCCCCCTGGTCAGACCCCCGAGAACCACTGCTGCAACCGCTGCCAGGAAGCCCACAACCGTGGCCTGCACCTGGAGGTGGAGGACAGAGCAGAGGTGAATTTATTTAGCAATCTATAGATCTCTCTTATCTGCAGTATGTACCTATACATCTATTTACCTAAATCTATCTGTCAGTCTTCAGTCAGGAAAAGACAGAAGACAGCATTAAGATGTAAATGATAGCGAGGCATGGAAAATGTGTGAAAAAAAACAGAATTGGAAATCACCATCCTGCAGGTCGATATTATATCTGTACCTTGATGTATATCATCTGCACCTGAAAAATACACGTTAACACAGAGAATCTAAACAGGAGAAGAGGAGGATACTGTGTCTCATCTAATCTTAACCTTTCTTTTCTATTTGAAACTGAAAACTATTTACAAGACTGCATCTGCTATACTTCATCTTCTACACCACCGTGGTTTCACAAGAAGACAAATAAGACGGTGACACAACCTATTAACTTCTTTATCTGAAAATCCAATTCATTCATCACTCCATAAATTCATATATCCATGTGTGCATACTAGTAGGTAAATAGCACTGGCGACTGAAACTGCTCCGGTTCATTGCAACATACGCGAGGTCGGTGGCTAAGCTCAGCATTGTGTATTAATGTTGTATGTCCCCTTTAAAAGAATGTTTGCAGCATGATTTATTGATGTGCTAATGAGTTTCACGCACTTTTTCAGTACTTAATTGGTCAAATAAATAATTATGTTGTGCACTTAACAAACGAGCCATTCTGTTGTGTTTGAGCAGACTCAGATAAACCATCACTGCCTAATACATATTTCCACGTTATTGTATTTGTCATATCAGTTTCAATTAGACGTGCCTGAGTGTCTGTGTTTGAGCATTATTCATTGCATGATCCAACACAATGAAGAGTCAAGGGCTTACTTAGCTAAGCGGTTCTCAAAGTGGGTTCCAGGGACCCCCAGGGGTCCTTGAGGGGGTTTCCAGGAAAAAGTAATTCATTCAATTAAATAATTCATTTTCACTATAATTCCATCCAAGTAACACAATGACAGAATGTATGACTAGTTTGGTTCATGGGACTCAAACACTTTCTATAATCAAACATCTCAAAGCAAAAACGTTATCAGGCGTGGGTCTGTGGTCTACTTTGCGTCAGTTTAGGGTCCTTGATGTGAAGCACTGGCTTAACTGACCAGGTACAGGGGCTTTACGTATAAGCAGGCAATGGAAGAATGAGCCCAATTCTTGGATTTTATGCTCCAGAGTCTTATCATAACGACCATTTTATCTGCCACCGTCATCTGGTCTGTATAATGCATGAGTGAAGTGCTCTGACAGAGGGGGAGGATCAGGGCAGCAAAGCTCCTTGAGTTAAACTCAAGTGTCTTGAAGCCAGAAGAGTAAAGTGTGCAGTGTGTTATTAATAGGATTAATGAGTGTGTCACCTGAATGAGAGCCAGATTACAGAACACCATCCTCCACTGTTGCTGAGCCTCATCCATCTGCCCTGTGTTGGCCTGTGGACGCACATGGTTTTACTTAACACATCACATGTTTTCCAAGTGTTACAGTGGAAAGTTAATTATCACTGGTCACCATAAAGTTTTACAGGTCTAATCTAATTGCTGGTATGAGTGATGTCAGAATCACCCTGATGAATATCTGATTTGTCTACATGTGGATAGATAATAATAAGAAAAAAAAACAGACCAAATAAAAAATGATTGTATCTGTTTCTTTCTGAGTGTGTCTGTGTGTGTGTGTGTGTGTGTGTGTGTGAGTGAGTGAGTGAGTGAGTGTGTTTCCACTCACTGCTGTTGACAGTCTGGATGCCAATGTCATCTCCAGATTCCCCTTCAGCCCCACCAGGGCTGGCACCAAGATAAACACCTCTGAGATCTCAGTGAACACCTCCCAGTGCTGAAAAACACCACAGTGGTCTTTCAGTGGACGGTCTGTTCCCAACCAGCCCCCTGTTCAAATACACACAGTGAATCGCATAGCAAGAGCATTTAGACTCGTACTGTAATACTTCAAAAACCCACCAATGGAGGTTAATGTTTCTTATTCTCACTACACTGCAAATGTCAGAAACACACAACAATGAGCCTTTGAATCACTTACAGTAAATGAGGCCTTCTTAAAGGACTTGAAAACCTATTTTCTCAGACATGGTCGCATATGAACACGGGATTTTCTGCCAATTTAAAGCAGCCTTGGTCATTTCACATGAGCTATTTCCTTCTGTGCAGTTCTTGTTTTATTTTTCTCACCAGTTTGAAGTGGACGAGTCTCCACTTTAAGAAAGTGGTATCACATACTTTCCTGCACCGATATGGATTTAGCAACTTATTGAAAACGCAATGACAGTCCTGAATAGGTTTTTGAGTGTTCAACTATTGATACATTTTCAAACTTTGTCAAACCTTTGCTGCTCGTCTATTCATGAATATTAAGGTTTTTTTTGAGAAAAACAGGGGCTTTGAAAGAGTTCTCCTCCGGTTCAGCATTGCACTCCTATAACACTGTTGGCCTATGATGGACAGTTATCAGAATCAACACAGCAGAACCAGAGACATCACCTTTCTTAAATCACATGTTCTTCTTTGTCAAAACCTGGCACCTACATTACCCACAAGGCAACTAAAAGCAGCGAATGTAGCCTCTGGCCGATAGGAGGAGCAGGTTACAGAGACAGATTGTAAATTTTCAAACTTATAGTCTTTAGTCTGAAATGATGCTGACTCAAGTGACATCATTTGAGTCAGGCTTTATATATTTTTCAGATACATAGTAGTAAAGAACTGTAAACAGACTTGTTGAGTCCCCTTTTAAAGGCACATACTCAACAACATATATACAGTACAGTAAGTGCCTGTTGTATATTTAAATATGCTAATAGGCTAATCATGCTTCTCTCAACCTCTCACCATGACCGTTTGGCCTGTGAGTGTGGATGGATTTGATAAATTGTAACTGAAACCTGATCTGTCGGCTCTTTATGCTTCAACCAGCGGCTGGCTGACCTGCTGCATAATTCAGTCATGTCATGCTGCTGGTGTGATATTTACAAGAGGTTAAACAGGGTGAGAGCTATCAGGTGGCTCTGTCTCGGTTTCTGACTCTGCTGTTTGTCCTCCTGTATGTTCTGTCATTTGTATGTAAATATATAATAATTACGGAGCCAAATCCTGCTGGAGGAGATTTTTGTGGTGTTTTTTTTTTTTTTTTTCTTTTTTTTTCTAAAGTGTTTTTTGTCTGCAAGGATTGTCCATAGATGACAGATTTAAGAACATAAACATCACATTCATCCTTTGTCTGACTCCCTCTGCCTTTCAGCAACTCACCTCCCCTTTACATGATAATGATACAGGAAAAAATGAAATCATGGAAAACAGTGGTGATCATGAAAAAGCCTGTCTAGTATCTGTTGCTAGTGTTTCCACATGACTCATCATAAGAAACCAGTATCAGTGGAAACATGTAACCTCACACGCACAAGCACTTTTTCCATACTTGCACTATATCCATGAGTATCCCAGCTGCCACCATGCCCAGGCCAGACACCAGGTACGGCAGCAGGACCTGGGCTGCGATGACCCACGAGCTCTCTGGCAGGAAGCCGTGGGCTGAGCGGGTCAGTTTACACGTGAAGCCCCTCAGCTTCTTCCCCTGGAAACGCAGCTCCAGAGCCAGATGGGTCACCACCATGGCTGATCCGCTGTTAACCCATCGCTGCACGGAAAGCCCTGCTGCGATGTGCTGGTGGGGAGGGACAGTTCCTCTGTGCCACAAAAATCTGCTCCTGAAACTTTGTGTTGGATTAGTCAGGGTGATTTGAGGAGGATGTGACGATCCATCTCGATTGAGGGAGAAGTGGTGAAGAAGAGAGGAATATTTCTTTCTGTCTGTGTGTTCCCAAGTTCTCGCACCGGCCTCTTTCGAAAGTCACAGCTGATGGTTCTTTGGTGAAAACAGTTCTTCTTTAAGTTTTTTTTTTTTCCTGCGAGAAAGAAAGACTCAACAAGCTTGTTTTGCCCTTCACCTGTCACTCCCGCTCTGGCAGGGCAGCAACACAAAGTACTTTTGCAAATGGTGGACTAGTCGGAGGAAGTTGCTTTCATCCACTTGAATGGATTACACACACACACACACACACACACACACACACACACACACACACACACACACACAGGTCCACTTGACAGCAGGTCTGTGAGGCCTCTTCTGACACTCTGCTACTGACAGACCTCCACACACACACACACACACACACATACACACACATGCATGCACTCACTACAGCTACACACACACACTTTCTCTTCTCATGCCTCACTCTTCAGCAGGCGGGCCGCCGAGGCAGAGCGCTGGAAGCCGGGTCTGTCGCGGGGCCTGAAGAAGGTCCAGGTCCTGTGGGACAGGGACATCCAGAAGGCCAGCAGTTTCTTCTCAGCCCTCCTGTGCTGCCGCTCCTTCTCCTCCTTCTCCCTCCACACTTCCTTCTCTTGCTCCTCACCGCTGTGCTGGTGCCCCGTGTGAGCTTCGCCACTCTGGAGCCCCTTCCCCATTTTGATAAGGGGAACACCGGGATGTCCGTCCAGGCTGCGAGCTGTGTGAAGAGGACGCTGATGGACGGTGGGACGCCTGAGGCTTGACTGAAGAGCTACGGCGAATGTGGTGTCGTTGCCGGGGGGCTTCCCTCTGATTCCAGACGGACAGATGAGACGTGACGGCGCTCTGTGGTGGAGGGAGGGACAAGAAGGACTGTGTGTGTGTGTGTGTGTGTGGGGGTGAGAGGGTTTGATGCTGCAGACGTCTGAGTATGAGCAAGGTGACCAGACTGTATCAGGACTCTGCTCTTCTTCAGTCTTCCTCCTGTTTTCCTTTCAGATCAGTTCAGAGGATACTGCAGTTGTGCTCTGCCCCTCTTTGATAGCTCCTCCTCGCCCTGCTCCTCGATGTCCTCACTACGAGTGGGTGACGCACTCTGAGCAGCAGCAGGTTCTGTACCTGTCACCAGCACGTGCTGCTGCTGCTGCTGCTGCTGCTGCCTGTAAAGGACACAGTTTCTCCTACTTGATGGGGGGAAACACAGGCTGCCACCAACTGTCATCCCCATGGACTTTTTCATGACGTCACTTATTTGTCTGTTTTCATCTTTCTGTTTTGTTACGTCATCTGCTATCCCATATTGCATGAAGATTTACCTGGCACAGTATATAACCTACAGCCCCTACATACAGACTCTAGGTTACATACACTCCTAAACTGCTGCTAGAAGATAGAAATAAGACGAGTTCAGACACTTTGTTCTAGTGTTTGGCTTCTGTTCATACTGTACCATGCAAATACACAGGAGGAACATAAGCTTGTACACTTTAACACTTTGTTACAGAAACACAGGCACACACAATCACACTAATGCGTGCACACACACACACACACACACACACGCATATACACACACACACACACGGACAGTGACTCAGCTGCAAAGTGTCCTTGAGACATGGCTTAGAGTGGGTGCTCTGTTCTCTGCAGCTCCCCCCTCTGACTACCGGCTGTAATTTTGGATTATGAAACAACAGCTTCTGAAGAATGAGGCGTACCTGCAGGTTTATGGAGCTTGCACACATAAATTGGGAGGTCAAATGGCTCGTTGGGATGAGAAGAGTTTCCTTTCCTTTTCACCTTCTGTCATATTTTGGGAATCTGACAGTAAAAGTACAGCAGTAAAGTAAAAGAGAGGACATGCCTTGGAGTTTTTAGGTTGAACTCTTTGACCACAGTCTGAAAACAGTCAGTGTGCAGTAGTGAGGCATTCTTTTTGAATTCCTGAACCTGTCGTTACTTTTCACATAATGCTGGCATTGGCCTCTGTCCAACAGTTGTAGCTACAGCATCTGTCAACATGTCTCAGTGTCACTGATGATTCATTGCCGCTCTGTTGTCTAAGTAAGTTGTCAATTAGCTACACGACAAGACTAGATCAAAACCTGGACCGCATTGTAGGCTACTTACATTCTGCCAAGTGTCTGTTTGCCTCTGTCCTCCTCTCTGTGCTCAGTGTACAGTATTCTAACACAGCTGAATTCAAGATGAGGCTGTTCTCATTTCCATGTTTTTCTGTTTCTGTTGTCGGACAACAGAACAAGTATGAAGTAGTGACTGAAACACGACCCATGAAGACTACACGTTAACTTCCAAGCCATTTCCAAGCTGCTGCTAAAATCCTGATTTTATAGCCACGACGTCATCTCACAAAATCACCAAACACATAAATTAAAGACAAAGACTGTACTGTGATTTTGTCTATGTTTACTCGTAAAATGATCCTTCAGAAAGTTAGAAGCTCATTCCCGTCAGCGGCCGTGTGGTCGGCACAGAGAGGTGTGCCTGTGGAGGGAAGGCACAACCTCACACTTGCGTGGCAATACTAGCAACTCTCTTCTACAGAAAGGTGACTAAATGTCAGTCACTAAATTCGTCACTAGCTGCTTTTTTGAAAAAAAACTTGAGGAAACTCTAACACTCAGTCGGCCCACCAATGGTTTAACCTTATGACTCAGTCATGCAGCATTCAGCTGACCAATGGTGTCACTCAGTCAGTCAGTCAGTCAGTCAGTCAGTCAGTGACATTTGCACTTACAGGGCTGTTGCAGTTGTCTTTTGATTGCCGTCAGTCCGAATTTCTAACAATTTTTCTTTTGATTTAATTGAAAGAAGCTCAATATTGAATAAATAAGTAATTATAAAATGAACAGTCAGATGAATAAAATGCAGAAAATATAGAAGTTGAGAAAGGCTGAGAGGTGACGACACATCCAGCTCTCAACATATCCACACTTAGAAGCTGAAGAGGATTATTGTTAGCTACTCTGTCCGTTTGCTTTGTTTATCTACATCAGCTGCCTCTAGTTGGTTGATTCAGAATAAGGTAAATACCTAAAAAGGGAATTATTAAATGCAAATATCTAAAAAGAAATAAAATGATATCCAATAAAAAGACTACTGTAGGGTTTAATCAGAAACTTGTAAAACTTTGCATTTGGATAATAAGTGAACTACCTGTTATATTCACAATGTACCTAAATTCACAATGACATTCTGCCCATGTGTCCTGCCCATGTGTCCTTGTTTCCCAGTTTATACATAGTTGTGTACTACAGTTGAATTCATGTGCAGCCAAGATGTGTTTATTTGTTCCCATGGGGCAAGGTCACTTTACAGACCGTACTGGGTCACTGTGACCTCCACACCCGCACCACCGCAGTCCAGCCCCACCACCTCAGACACATGGAGTGACACTGTTGGACAGATGTGGTTACCTCGTCAAACAGGAAATGATCTAACAAGAAGTCATTCTTATTAAATGAGATCAATGTAGTAAAATGGTTCAATCCACGATGTCAACATTTTGCCTTTGCATGTTCATTTTGGTGCAGATTACTTTCTACTGCATTTCGAACCACATATCATCTGTTCTGGTGTTACAGAGCCGCCTGACTCAACACCTGCCAGTGCGTCACTGACCTGCACCTGGTCCAGCAGCGTGCCGGCCGTCACCATGCCCAGCCCGGCCAGCAGGTATGAAGGCAGCACCTGTAGGCAGATCACCCCGGATGACTCCCTGGAGGAAATGTGGAGCTTCTCCTCCTCCATCTTGTCAGGACAGTTACTGCTGCTGAGATTCATGTCTGTCTCTGCCTTGCTGCCAATGTCTGTGATCGTACCAACCAAACTGCTGCCAACCAGAAGAGCCCGACACTGTTTGTCTTTCAATCTGTCAACCTGCCCTCAGGCACTCACGTGTGATACAGTATGCCTGTGATAAATGCTGTTTTCTCTGTTATACAGATGATTACTGATGATAGTTGGGGATTCATTTGTATAATTCTGGGTAAGGCCAGTCGCATAATCTGCCACTACTGTTAACACTGGCAGGTGTTATAACTGTCCAGAGAAGTCAGTTATTGCATGTAGAGTCGACCTCAACATTTAAGGTTTATATCAGAGTTTATATCACTAATGGCCTGGTATGTATAAGCACATACCAGGCCATTAGTGAAACAACCAAATACTATTATACAGTATTTAGTTGTTTCACTAATGGCCTGGTATGTTCTTATACAAAGAAATGTAAGTTAAAAAAAACCCACCATGATGTCCAGCTGGAATCACAGCAGGCTCTTGTCCATCCTTTCCCTCCTCAGCTCTCTCTCTTTCACTCACACTCATTTCTTCTTTTCCTCCACATTATTCTTTCTGTCATTTAGTTTCTGACTTCCATCGTCTCTCAGAGGGTCTTACATCTCTGCTCCATTTCTCCTGACAGGTCTCAGCAGGACCATCTGACTGTTTTAAAAGAATATTCAGGTTAAACTCCAAATTTGTGAGTGCAAAGTGCAAATGTGAGTAATGAGCTACAATCAAACAAAAATAAAAGTGATTAAGCAATCAGTGCCTATGTTGTAATAATCCCAGTCTGCACTTAAAAAAAACAATGGTAGGACAGGGAAATTGAATTTACAGAGCTGTGTGGCACCTCTTACTGTTGTGACGGTGTGTCTGAAACCCACTTTCAAATTTGTGAAACCTTTATTCTATTTGTGATTCTGCAAGCAAGATTTCATTCTTTCTTGCACCTACACCACATTGGACCAGGTCCACATCAAAAAACCACTTTACCATACACTATCAAACTGGTCAAATCTGGAACAGATTATCCCAGAGAAGCCAGAGACTCTTTAACACAGATTCAGATTTGGGAAACCTTTCTCACTCATGGTAGCCTTGTCATTTGTCACACTGTGTATCATGTCTCCAAGTCGTAGCCTTGCAGCCCTCTTGTTTTTCCTGAATCTGCCTGCCTTAGCCCTTTACCTGTTTAACCTGTGGATGTCTGACTAAGTAAACCCTGATTTTAATGTTGCTGTTCTTTGAGTCTGTGTATTTAGGACCCGTGTGTGCGTATATATCTGGAAGTTTCTCCCATCTCCACACAGGATCAGAGTGACCAGCGGGGTCTTGGTCACCTCTTTTACCAAGGCCCTTCTACCGTGATTGCTCAGTTTGGCAGTCAGCTTTAGG